CCCCAGGCGTCCCCAAGTCAGCCACTACTGAAACTGTCCAGCGGCTGACTCGGGGAAGCCTGGGGCAGAGCAGCTCCAATTGTCCAGCTGCCTGGAGCACTTCTGGGTTCCAGGTGGTGCCGGACTAGCAGGAGGGCTGGACCACTGGATGCTGGACAACTGGAGTTTTACTGTATAAAGCAAATGTAAACTGCGAGCAAAAGGCAGGCTCCTGCTCACGTAATTTAGTCCAAACAGTAAAGCAGTAATTGGTACTAGGCACTGGCTGTAAAACACTAATTGGTACTGGGCATAGATTGAAAGCACCCTTTAGAAGTGTGGTAACACCCTTTTAAGAAGCACCTTTACCCCATGCTCTACACAGATAACAGGGACATACTGACCCAGATTCAGGACAGTCTCTAAAATAACAGCATGATGCATAGAGGAGTTCTAATTGAACCACTAGATACAGAGTGATGGGCAGTATCTAGGTAATGTTAGAGGGTGGCAACTTGGTATGTTAGGACTGATGTGTAACTTATTTGTACCTGTATATAAAGTTGTGTCTTGGAGGAGCCTTCTTTGACCAGCCTAGGGGTCAGTGGGACCTCCTGCTGACTGAGCTGGACCATTGTTGGGGGTACATATGCATAGTGGTTCGGTAGAGTCTACTGACAACTATTATTGTACTTTGTTTGACAATAAACCTGGCCTGGTGCCTTTGATCCTTACCTGATTTTTGTGGTCTTTGGGGGCGCAAGAGTCTGCTGTGTTGACTTTGCACAGGCAGCCAACACAACACATGCACCTGAACAGTTATCACTGACAGCGCAGGAGATTCAGTAGGACATCACAATGCTGACTTCTGATTACTAAAGGGTGTGTCTACACTGCAGAGTTTCTCTGGAAAAACTACACTTACGTCCACACTGCAATTGTGTTCTTTTGACAAAGCAGAAAGAACAAAGGGGTTTTTCCGACAGCAGTAAACCCCTTTCTACAGGCAAGAAGCCTTTTTTCAAAAGAAGAGGCCTCCAGGAAAAAGCACAGGTGCCCTAGTGGCCACTCCGTCCATAGTAATCACAACTGAAACGCAGATAGTGTCCACATTGATTGGACGCTTTCTTTGAAAAAAGCAGATCGCTTTTTTTGATGCGCTTTTGCTGTGTGGATGCTGTCTTTCAAAATAACTTTTTTTTTCTGGAAGATCTCTTCCAGAAAAGCTTCTTCGGAAAGAAGCCTGCAATCTAGATGTAGCCACAGTGTGGCCGTGGCACAAGCACTGGAAGGGATATCTCCCAGTGCCCTATGTAAACCCCTTCCATGAGGGGGTAGCTAACAGTGCTCGGAGCACAACTCCCAGTGCTATAGCTTAGTCTATATTGTGGCTTTACAGAATTGTATCTTGTCCCTACCCAAGGCAGAAAATTACAGTGCTGTAGTGCCAATGTAGATTTAGACAGTATCTAGCCCCGAGGCAGAAAATTACAGTGCTGTAGTGCCAATGTAGATTTAGACAGTATCTAGCAATCATGAATTAGCATGATTATATCCTGTGAGCCTGGGCTTATCAGTTATGGTTATGCACATGGAGCCTCCTGCCTTTTTTCCCCCATTCCTCCCCACCCCCATGCTGCTGCCTCTGTAGGGAGAAGCTCCTGCTTTTTCCCCCATTCCTCCCCACCCTCATGCTGCTGCCTCTATAGGGAGAAGCTCCTGCCTGCCTCCCCACTTGTAACCAATGATATTTTCTGTGGTTACACAATTAAACACATTTTAACATCCCTACCTGAAACAGAAAATTACAGCACTGAAAAGTGCCAGTGTAGATTTAGCTTGAATTAGCATTATTGTATCTTGTTAGAAACAGTCTGCTTTAATTGTGAAGCAGTATCTTTGTGATAAAATGCAAAGCTTTATTGGACCTAAAATAAAGTGAAAAAGAAAATATGGAGCTTCAGCAGGCCATTTGGAGCTAATGAAGATAAGTGTGAAAAAAATATGGAGCTTCAGCAGGCCATTTGGAGCTAATGAAGATAAGTTTTAGTTTCTAAAGCTATAGGGAATGTTCCTGATTCCATTGAAGTTCATGGAAATCTTGCCATTTGCTTAAATGGGAGAAAGATTGGACCCAGAGTGGATAAATAACTTTTATGTGAATTTCACCACCACCCCCAGCATGTAATATTATACTGTGTAAAATTAGTAGGTATTTTTTCATGTGAGGCTAGTCACCTTCAGAAATAACATAGTAGTAAAGATGTTTTCTGAGTTCAGTTAATATCTTATTTAAATGTTTGTTCCTTGAATCTCTGTTAAAAGCACTTTTATTCTACCAACACAGATCTTGAAAACATACCTTGGATTTATGCCTACCATTAATAAAATATGAAACATTTTTGCTAATGACTACTTGAACAGTTTTCCACTCCATTCGTTACCCAAGACGAGGACTGTTGCAGAGCCATTTACCCTGTCTCCAAACAGAATGAATATACGTACAACCCACAAATAGTGTAATGTCTTCATGTAGCTACACTTGTATTTTAAGTGCTTCTTTCTATGGTATCCTGTTGTGTTATATGGCAACAGTCTGTCACATACTATATTTGAAGCTAGTTTGCTATTAATATTCAATAACAAAATTTTAAAAAGTGATTTTAGTCTAATGACAAGTTACAGCATGAGCAAAACATTGGAGAGCACAGCAAAATAAGCAATTATCCTAATACAAGGGGATGTTTTAGAATAAATTAGAGTAGATCTGAACTTGGTCAAAGAAGTACATGAAGGATGCCAAACATAGTAACTCTTTTATCATGTGTTTTGTTAGAAGATCTTCATGGAAGCATGTAAATGGGAGTGGGAGAGAAGTGATATTATAGGCACTGAGTAAACATCTACTATATATTTGAGTTTGTTCAAGAACTTCTTCTAAATGGTAAGAGCTAGGACCACCGAATTCGGTATATATTTTCCTCTTATAACTTAAAGCAAGATTTAAGGGGTTGGCTGTGCCAGGAAACTGGGATGTGTCCAGAATGGCATTGTTTCTCATAAAACTATACAGAAAAGAGACTGAATCACCAGGCAGGTGAAAAGGGCTGGCTTGGGGTACCTCCCCACCCATCCAGGACAGCCCCATCACCAAGCCACCCACTCCTCAGATGCCCTTTAGGTAGGTAGGGTGGGTGGGACTGAAGTTCTCAAACCCACCCCCCAAAAACATTAATTGAAGACGCTGTTGGCTGTTCCCCTTACTCAGTGAGGGGGAAGTGCACAGTTGGTGCATTCCTCACTATGGCTGGGGAGCGCAGGTGGCAGACGAGCTGTGCACTTTGCCCTTGCTCCCTGACAGGGACAGGAAAGGGAAGAGCAAGCAGTCCTGGTACAAATGTCAGGAGACTTCCTGCCCACCCCCTTACCCACACACCTACACACCCAGTCCCCTGCCCAGAGAAGACTCCCTACCCACCCCCTTACCTACACACCCAGTCCCCTGCCCAGAGCCCTTCCTCATCCCCAACCCTGACTCCTGCACCCCTTGCCCAGAGCGCCTCCTTAAGGACCTGAGCAATGCCAGATAAAAGTGCTAGTCTACTATTTATTTTAAAGAGTTTGTCTGTTTAATAACTCCTAAATGGTAAAAGCTAGGACCATCAAATTTGCTACACAGTTTCATCTTATAATAACTTAAAGCAGTGTAAGGGTTTGGTTATGCCAGGATAAAAGGGGTGTGCCTGAAACGGGATTGCTTCTCTTAAAACCAAGCAGAAAAGACAATCACCAGAACAAATACAGTTCTCAAAATTGCCATAAGTGAGTGAATGTTGAAAGAGACTGAACCAAGATGAGCCAGAAAAATTGGATGAACCTGGAATAGTAGCACTTCTCAATCTTACAGAAAAGAGAAAAATGGGGAAATGTGGACTAGTGCTCTGTTTTGACACAGCTATGTCAATGCTCAAGGTTTGAAAACTAGAAGACAATGTTACTGGAAACCACATTGACTATGGTGCTTTTTTATTATAGTAAATAATCATTTATAAGGATGAAGACAAAAATACACTGGTGAATTTTGATGGAATTCTCATTTTAAAAAATGACAAATGTGAATTTTGATGGAATTCCCATTTTAAAAAATGACAAATTAAATGGAAAAAAATTAATCCCTTTTTTTAAGAAATCCAAAATTTTGGGTGCAGGTGAGAAACTACATTGTCTTTAATTGTATCCCCTCTGTAGAACTGTTTGTATGAGTGTGTGTATGTCGAGGACAATTTTAGTAGCTTTTAACAATGCAGTTTCTTAGGGTGACATCCACAGGCACTCAGAAACTTTTGCAGGCAGAAAGTAGCTGTCCACTTTGTGCTGTAAAGAGCAAATTGTCTGCAAGGGAACTGGTTGCTCGGCGCCGGGAGTGAAGGGAAACCAAGGCCTGACAATGAATAAGTGTGGCAGAGGAAAAAGGAGGAGTGGGAAAGAAGAACAGGGACAACAGGGGAAAAGGACCAGTAGGGCTCAGATCCTAACAGGCTCCTAATGTGGGGAGGGAGGAGAAAAGAGCACAGCAGACTCAACACCCATCTTGCAATGAGTCACAGGGAAGGAGGGAGGAGTGGGCCCCTTTAAACCCTCACCCACAAGTAGGTGGTAAAACTCTCCCCTACAAGTAGGGTGACCACAGGTCCCTCACTATATTTTTTTGCTTTTGCTTTGCCTGTCCCTTGTTGGAAGTCGCGTTGGCAGACATTACAGCTGCTAACAAAAGCGTCCCCTGAACTGGTGAGAAGTGCCCTGGGCAGGAGAAATGGGCACGGGGGAGACAAACAGGTGCCATGCGGAGGGAAAAGGTGTTTTCCTAAAACGGCCCTTCGAGTGTCCTCCCCTGGGGTCTCCGCTTCTTGCTCATTTCCCTCCTCCACAGCCAGAGCAGGTCTGGGATCCCCTGGGGCGCTTCCAGGGCAGCAAAGCGGCTCCTGCTTCCAAGCTTCCGCCGGCAGGGGCCGCTGGTGCGCCCCGCCCCGCCGCGGCTCCCTCTCCCCAGCTGAGCTCGCTGCGGCCGGAGCGGAGCAGCATGGCCGAGCGGGCCGCTGCCCAGGTAAGGGCATGAGGCCGGGGCGCCGCGGTGCGTGGCTCCGATGTCCCCGCAGAGCCGGGGCACGTTCGCCCGGCGCCTCCCCGCAGGGACTCGCTCGGAACCCCCTGGGCTGGGCGTTTACACGCGTCCCGGCTGCTCCGAATGCCCTGCTCCGATGGATCCCTCGGGCCGGGCCTCCTGACCCCCAGCCCGGGGGGAGCACCCCGCTTCCGAGCGCTAGGGAGAGCCGGGCCTTGCCTGCCACAGGTTGGGTAGCCGGGAGAAGCTGCTGCCCGGCTCCCGTGGGCGGCGAGCAAGGAAATGCCTTGATTCCTGGTGCGCGGCTCTTAGCAACCTGGCCCAGCTGGCTCAGGTGGGCTTTGGACCTTGCGCTTGTCTAGATGCCTGCTGGGGGTGGCAGTCACGGCCTGGCCGCGGCTGGGCATCCCCATCCTTTTACCCAGGAGCGTTGCTGGGAAAGGCCAGCGTATGGACTAGTGGTTAGAGCAGCAGGACCCAGTGCCAGAGAGCTGGATTTCTGACTTTGCTGCTGACTTGGAGAGGCTGGCTCAGGTGGGCTTTGGACCTTGCGCTTGTCTAGATGCCTGCTGGGGGTGGCAGTCACGGCCTGGCCGCGGCTGGGCATCCCCATCCTTTTACCCAGGAGCGTTGCTGGGAAAGGCCAGCGTATGGACTAGTGGTTAGAGCAGCAGGACCCAGTGCCAGAGAGCTGGATTTCTGACTTTGCTGCTGACTTGGAGAGGTGCTGGGCTCACGCAATGTTTTGACTTTCAGAACTGAAATTCTGGAGATGCTGGGGCTATGCACTGGCAAGCCTGAAGGTACCAGGGCTCAGCTCTGGCAAGCCCTGGCACAAATGAAGCACTGGTTATTTCATCTCTAATAGGCTGCCCCTGCAAAAGGGGAGTGGGTGTTGATTCTTATTTTTCAGAGAAGGGTTTTGAAAACACATTCATTGTTTTTAAAGTGCTTTGACCTGCAGGGATGAAAGGCTCTTGGTGGGCAGGGGAGGAACCCGGTAGTTTGAACAGGTAGGGCCCAATTGGAAAATCGTAGGTGTGTGACTTTCACAGGTGCTGTTGTGATTGTGGGCACAAATTCTGTAACAGCAAATGTTCGGTGCGGTGGAGTTGTAGCTGTATCCGTCTCAACATATTCGAGAGACAGGCTGGGTGAGGTTAGGTCTCTTAGAATCATAGAGCTGGAAGAGACCTTAGAAGGCCATCAAGTTCAAGGCAGGACCAATCCCAATTAAATCAACCCAGCCAGGGCTTTGCCAAGCCGAGACTTAAACACCTCTAGGGATGGAGACTCCACTACTTCCCTAGGTAACCCATTCCAGTGCTTCACCACCCTCCTAGTGAAATAGTTTTTCCTAATATCCAACTTGGACCTCTTCCACCACAACTTGAGACCATTGCTCCTTGTTCTGCCATCTGTCACTACTGAGAACAGCCTCTCTCCATCCTCTTTGGAACCTCCCTTCAGGAAGTTGAAGGCTGCTATCAAATCCCCCCTCACTCTTCTTTTCTGAAGACTAAATAGATCCAACTCCCTCAGCCTCTCCTCATAGGAAATATGCTCCAGCCTCTTAATTATTTTCATTGCCCTCCACTGGACTCTCCAATGCATCCACATCCTTCCTGTAATTGGAGGCCCATAACTGGCCACAATACTCCAGATGTGGCCTCACCAGAGCCGAGTAAAGAGGAATAATCATATCTCTGGATCAACTGGCAATGCTCCTCTTAATGCAACCTAATATGCCATTAGTCTTCTTGGTTAGAGGGGCACACTGGTTGACTCATGTCCAGCTTCTCATCCACTATAACCCCCAGGTCCTTTTCTACATAACTGCTACTTAGCCAGTCGGTCCCCAGCCTGTAACAATGCTTGGGATTCTTCTGTTCCAAGTGCAGGACTCTTGTCCTTGTTGAACCTCATCAGATTTCTTGTGGCCCAGTCCTCCAATTTGTCTAAGTCACTCTGGACCCTATCTCTGCCCTCGAGTGTATCTACCTCTCCCCCTAGCTTAGTATCATCTGCAGACTTGCTGAGGGTCAATCCATCCCCTCATCCAGGTCATTAATAAAGATGTTGAACAAAACCGGTCCCAGAACCGAACCTTGGGGCACTCCGCTAGATACCAACTATCATCCTGACTACGTGCTGGGCCCGACCTTCCAGCCAGCTTTCTGTCCATCTTACCGCCCATTTATTCAATCCACATTCCCTTAACTCTTATATGGGGCTAACCAGGTCTTTGTTCATACAGTTACCTGGACTGTGTGCATGGAGCTGGGCACTCGTTTTGCATGTGCAGTTCCATGTGTAATGTTTTTCAAAACCAGGCTCTGAAAGCATGGCATAATTTTGTTTTTAAAATAAATACCTGAGGGTTTAAGTGCACCTGGTGTGGTTACAGAACTTCAGTATAGTTATGTGCGTGAGAGAATTTTCTATTTGTTTTTTAGGTGGTGTTCAAATAAAAAGCCAAGGTGTTTGAAGAAGGGAGTATTCTCACCTTTGGATTCTGAGCATTACTCTGATTCCCTGGGCCAGGCAGCAACCAACTCCTGGAGCTACTTAGAAATCTTTGAAGTCTCTTCCCTAACATCAGCTGCAGGAATCTCTAGAACTGCTAGTGACGTCGTAATGTAGTAACATTTTACATTACACGCCATGCCAGCTCGCTGCGTGGTGGCCAGGTGTTCCAACACCACCCAAGATGGTGTGTCCTTGTTCAAATTTCCAAAAGACCCTCACTTTAGGAGCCTTTGGGACAGATTTGTTCAGCTGAAGAGAGTGGACTGGAGAGGGGGACACGACCGCTCGCTGATCTGCTCCGCGCACTTCACAGACGAGTGCTTTGACATTTCCAGCGTGACGCAAAAAAAATTAGAATTTGGAAAGCGGTTGCTTTTAACCAAAACAGCAGTTCCCACTCTGAACGTCTGCCCAAGCATGAATGAGAATCCACCGTCCCGATCGCAGCCAAAAGGAAGAGGAGCCTTCCGGAAAAAAGTCATCCCCGAGGTACCCAAATGTCAGTGGATAACGCTATGTGTTCGTGTTGCGAGGGAGGACTGAGTATTATGAGTCATGGTTTCCATTCCCAGTACTGCCACTGGCTTGCTGTGTGATTCTGGGATAGGTCACTTAACCTCAGGTTTTTTTCTCTCTCTGCATGGGAATAATACTGGACACCTCTGTGGGGTGGTTATGAGTTTTCATGTGTCTGAGCTTGTTAACTGAACCTTAGTCAAAAATGAAGCAGTTTTGGAGGGGACAAAAAAGATGAGTGAATCCAGGAAGATCTCGGCAGGCCTAGAGAAATGAGCACAGATCTGTGATCCTGAACTCTACTTCCATTCTGTTACTGACCGGCCTTGATAATGCTTTACACTTAAGAACATAAGAACAGCCAGACAGGGTCAGACCAACGGTCCATCTAGCCCAGTATCCTGTCTGCCGACAGTGACCAATACCAAATGCCAGAGGGAGGGAACAAAACAGAAAATTCTCATGTGATCCCTCTCCTGTCACCCATTTCCAGACAAACAGAGGTTAGGGACACCATTCCTACCCATCCTGGTTAATAGCCATTGATGGACCTAACCTCCATGAATCTATCTAGCTCAGTGTTTCTCAAACCCTGGGGCTCCACGAGACATCTCCAGGGGCTCCACAGGGTTGACAAACTGGAAACATTGATAGGTATAACACATGCAATCAGTAGACCACTGGGGCTCTGCATACATTTTTACGCACGTAAAGGGCTCCGGAGTCCAAAAAGTTTGAGAATGGCTGATCTAGTTCTTTTTTGAACCCTGTTAAATTCCTAGCCTTCACCAAGTCCTCTGGCAAGGAATTCCACAAGTTGACTGTGCACTGAGTCAAGAAAAACTTCCTGTTTGTTTTAAACCTGCTGCCTATTAATTTTATTTGTAACCCCTAGTTCTTATATTGTAGGAATAAGTAAATAACTTTTCCTTATTCACTTTTTCCAAACCAGTCATGATTTTATAGAGCCCTTTGTTTCCTCTTTTTCTAAGCTGAAAAGTCCCAGTCTTTTTAATCTCTCTTCATATGGGATCCATTCCAAACTACACTTCTCTAGTGCTTTATAAGTAGGGCTCACTGCCATCTTCTGTCTAATTGGGGAGGGAATAAATGGAGGTCCGTGGTCTCCCACTCCGAGCTCTCCTGTCACTCAGGCCTGTATTTAAACTGCTGGACCACAGTGACCACTAGGCAAGTTTCTTAGCCCCAGCAGGTCTCAGGTTTCCCATCTGTAAGCAGGAGCAGCCCGAGGCCGGCTGCAGGCGGGGCGGCGCAATTGGCGCCCCTGCCTGAACAGCCATCAATGGCCATGACATCATCACAGGGTGCCCCAGCGCCCCGTGATGTCATCATCGGGCGCCCTGGCCAACAGCGCCCTAGGTAGCTGCCTAGCTCGCCTAGGCTCACGGGCCACCCCTGTCTGTAAGAACAGTGATAATACTACTTTAGTTAGGAAGGCAAGCAAGTTAGATGACTGAAGAGATCTTCCATCCTGTGGACCTTCAGATTTAGTACTCCGTTGTATTGAAAAGGAAACTGGGACAGTGTGAAATAATTTGCCTCGGAAGCACAGTGAGCTAAGGCATTAGTACTGAGACAGGCAGTGGCGCAGGAAGGTTTTTAAGAGTGGGCGTGCTGATGTTAAAAGTCGGTTAAAACTGTAACTGCTGAAAAATCGTTGCGGTTCCATGGTTACAGGCGCTGCGGGTTCTCCAGTATTAAATACGTTTTATACTGCAAAGCCCTCAGCGAAGCCTCCCCTGCTGGCTTTGCTCCTCTAAAACTGTAACCGCTGAAAATCTCTGCGGTTCCATGGTTACAGGCGCTGCGGGTTCTCCAGTATTAAATACGTTTTATACTGCAAAGCCCTCAGCGAAGCCTCCCCTGCTGGCTTTGCTCCTGGGAAACCACCTCCCTGCGAACAGGGAAGAGTTCAATTGATAACATTAACCGATCAGCGTCAGGTTGCTCCTGGGAAGGTAGCGTACAGCGAAACCACCTCCCTGCGAACGGGGAAGAGTTCAATTGATAACATTAACCGATCAGCGTCAGCTTATTAGTTAATCGGCTAAACTCTAACAACCCAGTGTTGACATCTTCCTCCCTTACGCCTGTCCTGCTCCCCTCAGCTGAGATCCAGAGCAAAGCCCTGGTGTGCAGTGCTGCAGCCAGAGCACAGGGCTGGCAGCAGCTGGTCCCCCAGGTATGGAACCAGCAGCAAAACCCCCAGAGTGTGGGGCAGCCGCTGGGTTCCTGGATGCAAAGCAAGCAGCAGAGCCCACAGCTCACAGGGAGTCACCCGGGGTGCTGCAGCACCTCTCCCTCCCCCGCCCCCTTGTACCTTTAGCTCCTGCACCTGTGGAGAAGGGGCTGGACAAACTCGTAGTTTGTGACAAGGACAAGAGGAGTAGGGGACATGGAGTCAAATGTTGGTCTGGCCACGTTTACACTCTGCCCTTGCTTAACACTTCTAAGCAGTGTTTGCACGCAAACAATGGGACAGCTGTGGTACGGACTTACCTCCCTGGGATGCTGTGAGATGAAGTGTTGTTTGCTTTGATTCAATTTGCTCCCATGATAGGTGACACGTAGGCAGTGCACACGGAACTCCATGCACTGGGAGGAGCTGGCCAGCAGCCAGCGGGAAGGCTGGCGCCAGTAGCAGGTATCCGTACCATGCGCCCCCTCACTCATCCACTCTCCTGCAGTGGAGGTGGGGAGGGCACAAGCAGGCGGCTCCAGCCCACATGGCACCACTCTCCATCTGCATCACTTCAGGAATGGCTGGAACGCGCCAGGGTGGAGAGGTGGGGCTCACCCCTTCCATTGTCACCAGTCACCACTGGTTCCTATCCTGTATGGTCACTGCTGATACGGTCCTGCCGGGCGAAATGTTGGTGCACAGATGGGCCATGACGGGAGGAGAGACACACCCAGGGAACGTCCACACTTTGTGTTGGTTGTGTAATTCCCATCTTAAGGAGGCATAGTCGCACTAGTGCCACTTGAGTTCACATGCTAAAAGTAGAGCGTAGACATGGTGCAAGCAGCAGGAGAGGCCAGCTACCGCGAGTGTGGCCACTCGACTTGGCCAGTGTGGAGTCAGAGCAGTTAGCCCTACACTTCTCTAGAGCTAGGGCAAGTAGATCTCTTCAAGCAGGGAATTACCTCTGCAGCTCCAGTGCAAACAGTCTCTGGGGACCATTGCACCACACTCATGAATTCTCTCTGAGTCGGACTGCGGTAGTGATTTAATCATCAGCTGAAGAAGTGGGCTTTGCCCACGAAAGCTCGACAAACTGCTGTTTCTACTTGCCCGTGGTGAGTAGATTTCAGCTGGTCGCTCTGTGCGCCCTATTCGCCGGCGCTGCGCGCATGAGCAGTGCTGGTTTGGCACATGCGTGGTGCGGTGCTGGCATGTAGCTCTCGCTGTGGTTTTTCGAGCCCTGTGTGTGTGTGTGTGTGTGTATAGTTAGTTTAGTTAGTCTCTAGGATGCCACAGGACAACTCGTTTTTAAAGTTACAGACTAACCCGGCTACCTCTCTGAGGCTAATTTAGTCTTGTTTGTAACTGAATATGATTAGAAATGCTCTGGCCTTATAGTGCAGTTTTCCTCAAATAAGTTAGGGCAAAAACCAATACCTGGGACATTCCCGTTCCCTTTGACGCTATAAACAAGGATAGTCGTGGAAATGCCAGCAGCCTTTTAACCAACGCCTCTGACATGTGGACTGACGATAATGCTAATGACACAATCCTTGAACAGTCCGGGCGGCTCCCTGCATGCGAGCCGCTGCTTGCCTGGTTTCTTTTTTGATAAGGAACGTGACCTCAACCCCGTTTTCGTTTTCTCTCTATGAAAGATGATGAGTGGGAAGGCTGATGAGTGGGAGGTGGAGCCTCGGCCCATGGCAGCTTTACACATCTCTGCCCTCCCTGAGCAAACCTCTGTGCAAGGGACGCCCCCTGCAAGTGCAGAAGCTTCCCTCTGGACGGTCTTAGCCGCAGTCCAAGCTATTGAGAGGAAACTGGATTCTCACGCCACGCAGTTGCTGAGTCTGGAAGGGAGAATGGGGACCGCTGAAAAAAAACTAATAGGCTGTGAGAAAACCGCAGTGGAGTTCAATAACCAGCTGGAGAGCAAGTGGGCCATGCTGGAGACGCTGATCCAGGAGTACGGGCTGCTGCAGAGGAAGCTGGAGAACATGGAGAACCTGCTGAAGAACAGGAACTTCTGGCTCCTGAGGCTGCCCCCAGGGACTCACGGGGAGGTGCCCAAGGTAAGTCCTTGCCCTGGAGCCCATTGTAGCAGGTGCTGTCAGACACAGAACTAAAAGACAGTCCTCCAAGGAGTCCGCAATAAAATATTGAATGAGATGGAACAGGGCGGGGACAGAGGAGACATTTTTTGCTGGTGTGATGGGCAGTAGAGGGGGTGACATGATCAGAGTGATGAGCTAGGAAAATGAGCTTTGTAGCAGCACATCTCAACGAGAGGCTTGTCTCCTGTATCGATCCACAGGCCATTGATTTATTATGTCTGCTTAGACATGATAAATCAATCACCGAGCACTCTCCCATCGATGCCAGTACCCCACCAGGACAAGTAGAGTAGACGGAGTTGATAGGAGAGCATCCTCCATTGACCTTGCCACGCACAGGGTGCCATGGTAGGTATGTCGACTTCAGCTACACGATCTGCGTAGAGGAAGTGAAGTAGATTAGATCAACGGCGGGGGTTACTGTAGACAAGACATAGTACTAAGGAGTTAGAAGTCAGCATAGACTAGAAAGGATGGTCTTGTAGTAAATGCACAGACCTGGGAATCAAAATCTGGGTCTAATTATTATTTAGACTTGCCTTGAGTGCAGGAGACTGGACTATATGAATAAATGAGGTCCCTTCCAGTCCTACACTGCTATAATTCTATGATTTATTTCTCAGCTCCGCCACGAACTACCTGTGCAGTCTTGGACACACCTCTTAACTTTCCAGGGCCTCACCTTTAAAAGGGGGCTGATATTTACCTTCTGCATAGGGATACCTGAGGCTTAAGCCACGAGTATTTGGAAAGCATTTTTGGCACTCCATATGGACGGCGCAGTGTTACATTAAAATATGGATTAACTAAGTCCCTTTTATTACTGGATACAGAAGTGTTTTTTCCTCCCCATGCCAGTTCTTTTCCTCATCTTATTGCTGTCTTCGCTATTCTTAAAGTGCTTGGATTTGATGGAGCTGCAGAGGGTTTTTCAAGCCAACCACTGTGCTGGTCAGAACTGGATAGACTATTTAGACCCCACTCTATTCTGATGATGGTGGGGACAGCTGAGGGAAAGGGGAGGGAATGGTAGAGCAATCTTCCTTAATCAGAAGAGTTTATTCCAGATTTTAGAGACCTAAGACTGAAATTCATAGCCTGAGACAGAAGCAGGAAATCCTCCCTATCTATTTTATGTGGCCCTGCATGAGAGCGACACCCCATCTTTTAAAATATTTGTACCCCTGTGAGGTAGGACAGTGCTATAATCCCCATGTGTAAGTTTGAGGCACAGAAAGACTGATTTGTCCAAGGGCCTCTGGGATATTCATAGCCAAAAGGACCTGAGCCCAGTCTGGCACTGCAAGTGTAATGCTAATGGGCAGAACTGAACCTGGGACCTTTAGAGCTTGGTGCAGGAGCCACTACAGCTTGAGCTAAGAGCCAGCTGGCACTCAGCTAAGACTGGTAGAGCAAACTCATTCTCTTTTTCTCTGTCAGTGGTCTAAATGCTACTACATGAGACCGTGAACCACACCCAGCAGGTGTGTGGGTCACACAAACACTGGAGTATCGATCTCCTTCCAATCTAACCTATCCTTTTTAGTTTCCGACTTTTCCTCGATGCCTCTTCCATTTTAGAGCCTTCCGTCGCAGCACTCTACATTGTCCTAGGCAAAGCCCAATGGGCCTGAGTGTTTCAAAATGTTACCCTCTTGCCCCGATACTAATTGAGCAATTATAATCACCCTAACAGCCTGAAAGGGATTGGATTTTCCTCACTCAGACTTTTATTGTGTGTGTGAAACCCCACTTGAAGTGAAACCTGCGTTGCCTCTCTCCGGTAAGCTTTCTTGTCTATTTTTCACTTGGCAGAGGATTGTATAGATGGGCCCGTTAACAGAAAGGCATAATGGGAACCACCTAGATCAGTTAACGTCGGTGTCACTCAAATTTAATGTTAGGAAATTCCAACAGAGTGGAAAATAATCCATTCAGATGTGCTTAGTTAATGCACCTTATTGACTGTGCCAATCAGCTGATTGTGATTCCTTGGAGCTGTTCGGTCAAATTCAGTCAATGTTAGTTAGACTCTTCTCATTGGAATATCAGCGATGTTTAAGCTGCAGATTGCAAAGTGAATCATGTTTATTGTGTTAAACTCCCATTGCCTTGCATGAGAGAGGATGGGGGCTTGTGGGCTCAGATATTCCCTGCAGACAGTCATGGACACTACCAGCACAACTAGTGATAACTGCTCCTGTAATTGACAAATGGAAAAGCCAATATCTGAAGGGGCTGCAGACATGGAACGATCCTTTTTATTTAAATATGATCCTTCCAGATCACAGGAAAGTGGGGTGGGGGGGGTGCTGTTTCCTGCTTTGTGACTTGATGATAGAACTCAGTGTCTAGATTTGCTTTTATGAACAATTTGGAGATGAGCATGAACCAAAGCTCTAGATTTAAGCGTCCTGTTGCTATAATGGACTGAACAAAACCCCAGATTCAGAAGACCCTCAGACTGCAACATTTGTAATCCAACATTTCCCTAAATCTGTATGTTTAAAAATAATCTGTTTAAAACTCTCTGCTTCTCGGCTGTTTCTACAGCACCATCCAGTGGTCCCTCTGATCTTTTCCACCCATGTGCAGAATAATTTTATGTGCACTGAGGCATGTGTGATTGTGCACCACCAGTAGGAACAAAACCTAACTGTGGGCGCTCTGCTAATCAGCTGGGCAGCACTGGAATCCCTCCTGAGCAGCCGCACAAGCGCCTAGCTTACAAGAACACTGCCCCTGATCTAGTACAATAGAGAGAGATTCTGACTGGGACCTCAGGGACCTATTGTCATGTTAAATCATAACAACCTGACCCTCAGCTAGTGTAACCAGGTGTTGCTGCTTTCAGTCAGTGGAGTTATACTGATTTACACTTGCTGAATATCCGGCCCCTAGTAATTTGATTCTGGCCCAACTCACATTAAAATAACTTTAAAACGTTCTTAGGGTGCGACAAGAGTGAGAAAGTGGTGAGCACGTGTCACCCTTTGTCTTTCAGGTGCCGCTGACATTTGATGACATCTCGGTCTATTTCAATGAGCAGGAGTGGAAGAGCTTGAGTGACTGGCAGAAGGTGCTGTACAAGGACACGATGAAGGGGAATTACGAGACCCTGATTTCATTGGGTAAGATCAGTTTTCACTCCTTTGTTAGAAGTGGGGAGAGCTTTTGTGGGCTGGGTTTCCTCTCGCTCGCATCCCTTTGGGTTGTTTTGCTGGGCAGCTGCCATTAGTCTTCTAGATGTTCCCAACAGCTCAGGTTCCTCGCATCTTGCTGTTGAAGAAGTGCCAAAAGATGCACTATTGGGCTTTGGGCCACCACTTCCCTAGAGGCATGGTGGGATTTACGTGTTCAAGTTCAATGTAGATTGCGGTAGGCAAGACATAGTCCACGGGCTGGAGCCATGTCAGCAGCATGGGGGAGCAAAAAGAACCAGTATCTGGACAATGGAGCCCTGATCTTGTCTGGTGCCTCTAAGTGCTACTGTATTGCAGGAAAGAACTTTGCCAGTTAATGGGCTTACTTACAACAATAAGCCCTGTGCTTGGCAGTAAAGCATCTGCAGGATCGGCCCCTGCATCACAGTTAATGGGCCTACTTACAACAATAAGCCCTGTGCTTGACAGTAAAGCATCTGCAGGATCGGCCCCTCGCTAGACAATGAGTAAGCAAACCCAGGTTCTACTTTTCATTTAAACTGATTTGCTGTGAACGCGATTTTTTTTTTTTTTAAACACAGCCAACACGTGTCACAGTTGAAAGGATCCTTGCAATCTCGGTGTAACTAACATGAATAAAATACCCAACCGTATCCCACTCCATATCTTCTCCCATGAACAGACTATGCTGTTTCTAAGCCTGACCTCCTGTCCCGGATAGAACGAGGGGAGGAGCCGTATATCGTGGATCCACGGGACTCTGAAGAAAGGACTGTTTCTATTGAACCCCATGTCAGTAAGTGATGGATTAAAACAATGTAGAAAGGACACGAGAAGGATAAAGCAAAAACCAAAGTTCTTGTGAACCTCGGTGGTTCCAGCTTTTCAGACGTTTTGAATGTGTTGCCAGTAGGGATGTAAACGAGTAGTCGACTATACAATTAACCGATAATGTGGGGGGAAATCAAATAACTCCAATTGTGTCTAAGGGGGGACTGTGCAGGAAATCAAAACTCTCTAAAAGAAATCTGCTGTAAAGGTTAAAAGTTTTCCAGGCCTCTCTCCCTGTAACAGAAAATCATCTTAACTCTAATCAAGACCCTTACAAGGCCTCCTAACTCAAGTTCATGGAGACTCCTAGTCTGTCACAAATTGCCATGTAAACTCTTATCTTTGTCACAGTTGCCTTGCAGACTCCTCACTCAGGTTCTCATGTGCCTTTGTACTGTAAAACTTACTTCTAGCACTCCTGGTGTGAAGAGAAACCTCTCAGAGTACTTCTGCTGAGACTTTGATATGTTAAAGAAAACAATCAACAACTAAACTGAACATACTGTATAATGGATCCCTGAAACTGTCTCTCAGGGCTGCTGGTGCTCTCACTCTGGTAGCTGTCAGCCTGCATGCATGCATAATAAAGTTTTCCTTCTAGATTTCTCTCCTGCCTCACTGCATTAACCTCCAGCCTCGGAGGTCCCCTACAATAAGCCTAGGCATATGGGTTAATCTTGTCAAATATTCACATTCCCTTCCCCCCTTGCTGCCTCTGTGTCAGAGGTGGCAACTGGGGGTGGGGAATGCGAGCAGTCGACTAGATTAACCATAAAGCTAGGTTTATCAGTGAATCGACCAGCGTGGGACTGGGGGGCAGGGAAGGCTGTCATGAAGCTGCCTCACAGAGGCTGCTCCATGGGAGGCAGAGCAGCCTCTGTCCGTGGGGAGCTCAGACCCCTCCGTGGACAGGGGCTGCTGCTGGACCATCCTCTGTCTGCGGCCATCCTGGGCTGGGCTGACTTTAGGCCGATTTGGCCAATTCCCTGGAATGGGGCCCCCTGCGTAAGGGGGCCCTGCTCCCAGGTGCGCGATGCACGCGCAGTGCTGCCCTGGGTAGGCGACGCCCCGGGTGCGCGGCACAGGCGTGGCCCCACCCGGAGGCTCCATAGCGCAGGCGCGGCCCCACGCAGGAGCGTCCCAGCCCCCCGGAATCGGGCCCCACGTTTGCTAAAGCCAGCCCTGATCCCGGGTCACCGTGGAGAGAGGCTGCTTCCTAGCAGCTGTCCACCCCACAGCAGCCTCTGTCCATGGGGAGCTCGGACCCCACGCGGACAGGAGCTGCTGCCACCCTGTGCTGCTCCCTCTGTATCAGGCAGTAGCATGGGGCAGCAGGCAGCTGGTCTGCGCAGGAAGCTAGTTTTTAAACGGGCTCCCCTTGCAAATGGCCCCTGCCTGGCACCCCGCATTGCTGCCTCTGATGCAGAGGCAGCATTGCGGGGTGGCAGGAGGCTCTTTAGGAGTGGGGCTGCTGGCCCCGCTCCCGGAAACCATAGAATAGTCGAATAACCAATAAGAATGCATGTGGTTACTCGACTATTCAGTTATCCGATAGCTAACATCCCTAGTTGCCAGTATCCAAAATGGTCAATCTTAGATGCACAGAATGGAATTCTCTCTTTTTTTCCCCACGAGCAGCCTCTCCCGTTGCTGCGCCTGGCCTGTTGTGCCAGCCCGAACAAAGCACAGAACCGCGTGTTGGAGATCAGGGGGATGCTAAGGAGAGACGTGTCCCTGCAGACTCCAGCACAGGTCAGTAATGGGTTGAAACCATTCCAAAAAGTAGAAGTCATCACTTCAGATGGGTTCAAAGGGTAGATATCGCCTAAGTCCCAGCGAGCTTATGTTGTCTTCTACACGGGGTGATTGAAGTAAAAAGCTGTTGGAATAGATAGTCAGACCAAATCAATTCCTTGCCATCTGCTGCACAGCTATTCTCTAACTACACTTGGACCTGTGAGTTAGTGAAGAGAGAGACATTCCTTGCTGAAGGCTAAAATAAAAGCCTCTGAAATAGACACCTTAACTGACAGCAGAATGGAGGTAATCATGGAGTAATCAGATTTGCCTCTATTTATTTATCTAATGCCAGCTTTCTACCACTGCCTAGCGGCATGCCTGCACTTACCTCTCTGCATGTGACATGTGACAGAAGGAAAGTTATTGATCTTCTGCCAAAATGCAGAGTATTGGGTAGAAATATTTATCCCCAAACATTCATCTCCTCCTCATACCCGATTGCACGGTGCGATCAAAGATGAAAGAAGAGCTGGGCTGTTTCCCAAGTCTTACTTTCAACCCGGCTTTGCCTTTTGCGACACCAAAATAGATGACTCGTTGTGTGCTTCCTCTTCTTTCCTGTGAGCTTTGATCAGCTGTGAAAGCTTAAAATGTTGGGGGGGGGGAGAGTCTATTGCCATCGGTAGGTTCCAGAGGCAACACCTTATCACTATAAATAAGAGCGGTGTGTCCCTTTCTGAGCTGCTGTTTCAAGCTGTTTGCACACTTCAGCAGACATCGTTGTGATGATAAAATTCAGTTGTCATGCCACTATAAAAGCTAGGTTTGATTTTATTTTTTTAATGAAAGCTTAGATTCTGGAGCATAAAATAACAGCAACCAGGAAATGTGCAGGCTGTCTTTGCCACTACAAACTGACCAAATTCAACCTCTCTTATGTGTACCTGCATATTACCTTCTAATGTAGGCATCTGTAATACTCCCGCCTCTGTGCTGATAGCATCAAGCTACAGTAGACTTCCAATAATCCAGCACCTTTGGGACCCGGGGGGTGCTGGATTATCAGATATGCTGGAGTATCAGGAGGTACTCTGGCGGGGGGGCTGTGATGGGTCTGCGGGGGACAGAAGGAGGTCAGCGGGGAACAGCGCGAACTTGCAGTGTATTACAGTATCTATAGTTAAACGTGTGGCAACACAAATGAAAATTATGCAACTAATAAAGTCCACAAATCAGACTCAGGATCATATACTGCCATGAATCTGTACTGTGTATGGGAAACAAAGAGAGCATGAACATGAGTGGTGTTTGGGAACATGCCTATGTCAGCCAAGATGGGATGATTATGAGAGCTCTACAACTGTTTTAAGGAAGGTAATAACTTGAACTAATGAGCTGGGCAAATAAAATTAAAATGGAGAATAGAGAGCTAAAAATATCCTGGAAGTTTTGAGCTCCAAACAGGTCCAGATACCCCATTAAGGCTTGGGCAAGCAAGTCAGTTTCAGTAGCGGCAGCAGCGGACTTGGGGAAGTGGTGGAGCAGAGCAGCTGGGGTGCTGCCAGGTTGGTCCCGCAGCACCACCCCTCGCCTCACCCCCTCTCCTCCGCCGCCACTTGCCGTCCCAGCTGGCCTGTAGCAGGCGGCTGTGTGAGGCTTTCCCCTGCCTCCCTGCAAAACAATGGAGGGTTCGCCCCTCGCCATGCCATTCCCCGCCGACCCCGCCCGGCCGCAGTGCAGGTCCCGGCAGACCCATCACAGGGGTATAATCCCCGTCCGGCTGGCTGGAGCACTTCTGGGTTCCAGTTGGTTCCGGACTATCAGGAGTGCTGGACCACTGGATGCCGGACAATGGGAGTTTTACTGTATATGTATTATACTATCTCCTTACCTATGCAGTTCTCATGTGCTTGTATATACCTACATACTTACTGTCTTTTGTATCACCAACATAGCCTATGCCTTCCTTTCTGTGTAGTTCGAACCAAAGTTATGGGCTGGATGCAGAAATTATTGAGCGATTTTTCTTTGGTCTGCATTATGCAGGTGGTCAGATAAGTTGCAACGGTCCCTTTTGGCATTAAAAATTCTGCGTACTTCAGCGTGGTTTTAATGTGTTATCCAGTGTTTTCAGCACTGGATGCATGCTTTTTAGGATGTGGAATGTAGCAGGGAATCTAGTCAAGGTCTTTGTTTAAACCTCTGTTATAGGTTTGATTGTTAATAATTAATTTGGTATCTAGAACAGAAGTTTAAACAAAGACGTTAACTGGATCACCTGCTACGTAAAAAAACCAAACACCAGATACTTAAAGATTACTTAGAACACACTCTATCAGCTGCATTCTAATTGACTATTCTTTCCCCATGTTTTTCTTTCCTTTCCTCTCCCCCATCCCCTTCCTTTCTTCGCTATTTATTTGGAACCTGGACCCCTTAAACTCCATTTATCTGAAGAAGTGGGTTGTAAGGAAGCTCATGATACCATCTTCATGTTTTGTTAGTCTCTAAGGTGCTGCAGGACTCTTTGCTGGGGTTTTTAAAGTCTTTTTTCAGTTACAGACTAACACGACCACCTCTCTGAGACTTTTGCTCAGATTAAAGTGGCACCAGATGCTTTGTAGAAATGAGTCAATGTAGGATCTGAGTCAAACAGTGTCTCCTATAGGGATGTGATAGTGTACACATGTAAACGCTTAACCAATGAGCCTGAGGTGTCTGATTACACAGAGGTGTCCCGTCCTCCTCCCTCCCCCCCAGCAGCTACGTGGGGGTGGGGGCGGGCAGCTTCATTGGAACTGCCTCCTCTCCGCGTGTAAACGTGTAACGGCTGAAGTTTACCTGAATACACGCATTTTAACATCCCTAGTCTCCTGTTGAGACCTCTTTCTGTGAACCACTTCTACAGTCTCTGGCTGTGACGCTGTATCGTGGATTATACAAGAGGAACAGTCGGACGCGGAGGATCAGAAACACACTGGGGAAGGAGAGCTCTCTACAGACCCCTGTGCTGGTGAGTGATGTGTTAAGCTGCCCAAGCAGAGTGTGAAATCCAGGGAAACCTTTGGCCCAGACTCTGGTTGGTATCTGTACAGATGAGCAAGAGATTCTAGCGCAAGGAGCCTCTGCCTATCCTGGCTGTGACAGTCCTGAGTGCAGTCATGGCTCCCCAATGACCCGCTGGAAGCTGTACCCCAAAGAGGAGACGGCTTAGATCCTTACCCCAGACCTCTCACACCAGAGATGGGCAAACATTTTACCCTGAGGGCCACACCGAGTACAAAAATTGTACAGAGGGCCAGGTAGGGAAGTCTGGGGGAGTCCTGTCTCCCCAAACAGCCAGGCATGGCATGACCCTGCCCCCTATCTAGCTCCTCTCCCAACCACCACCCCTGGGACCTCCCCCCTCCTATCCAACCCTCCCATTTCTCACCCCCTGACTATCGCCCAGGTACCTCTACCCCATCCACCACCCCCCATTTTCTACCCTCCACTATCCCTCCCAGGCCTCCTGCTACCCAGACAACCCCCCACCCCCGACCATGCTCCCCAGGGCACTGAGGCTGGCGGCGCCCAGGCGCTGGGGGAGCTGAGGCTGCAGGAGAGAGGGGCAATAGGAGAGGGGCTATGGGCTAGCACCACGCTGCCCAGGACTTGGGCTGGCTCCTCCCAGCAAGGCTCTCCCAATCCGGCTCCCTGGCGAGAGCTTGGGGACTGGACTGAAGGGTCCGACAGACTGGATGTGGCCCACAGGCTGTAGTCCTCCCCTGCCTTACACACTGCCAGGGGGGCTGCTCTCTCCGAAGGGCTGGGCCAGGCTCTGTACTCCCAGGGAGCTCTCCTGGAGCAATGCTGTTCTGTGCAGCTCATGTCTATTGGTACCACCGGCCCCTTTATGGACACAGCTGCCACCTTTGGATTTCCACCTGTCTCCACTTCTCCTGGCTCTGAGCCCTCCCTGCATTCGTTTCCTCTGGCTCCTTAGTAGAATCTTGTAGCCATTAGAAGCCAGAAACAGCCCCGGGTTCTGGTCTGCTGACGTGTCCTTGTGTAGTGTTGGTGGAGATCTGAAAAGCCAAGTGTTCCTCTGTCTGCCATGCACAGGCTGCTCCGCTTCGGCACGCAGCCCTGCGTGCTGGATGGATGTTGAGGAAGAGCCAAGCGTGCGGGATGTGCAGGTCGTGGAGGAAAGGCAAATCCATACAGAGCTCTGCCCAGGTGAGAGAGTTTGTAACTACTTAGACAAGGCGTGGAATCATCTGTTCCTCAAACCCAGAGACAATTTCCAACCTTGACTCTGTCCAAATGCAACTACTACAAAATACATTTCATTTCCTAAATGTGACAGTATCATGATGTAGCCGAGTTAACGTCATTATCAGAACCTTCATTTGTGCATTGTCCATAGTTCTTAATGCAATGCTAGGCCCCCAGTTTTGAACTCGCACAAGATTTTGCATTTAAGTTCTTTTTTCCTTCTGTCTTTTCTCTTAAAAAGGCAGAAAAGAGGGGAGAAAAATGGGGGAAGGGGACGAAGTGATCTGTGCTATATTGAGATGTGTCTGTCAAGTCTTTGCAATGCCGTACGTTATTTTTGTTAACAGCACTGGGTTGATATGCCATATGCCTTCTAGCAGCATTGGACAGGGTAGCATGATGTAAACTTTGCGTCTATATTGGACTGCAGGCTAACTGTGTAATAGACATCTTTACAGCACATTTCCAAAAAACACGTATTTGTTATGATTTTACAGTTTAAAATCTCCCTCCCCCAAAAAAGTATTAAACAGTTATTCCTCACTAAGGACTAGCCACATGTGAAATTTGAAATGGACTTTATGCTCAGCTATAGTAAAATGGTGGAGCTCCATTAAAGTCAATGGAGGAATGACGATTTATCCCAGCTGAGAATTTGACCTCCCAAGTTTCAAATACTACCTCCTGCCAATATGAGCAGTAAAATTACAAAACTGAGAAAGTTAATTATTTTTTCCATGAATGTCTAGACAAATCTAACTCAAACTTTTTGAGAAGAAGTGGTTTCAGGCCACGTATGAAAATGTTTAGGGCAAAGGAGTAACTTCTGAAGATTGTTTCTGAAAATAGGATTATAATGGGATTAAAATTACAACCATAATTAGATGGTTTTGCTATTCAGTAGTGAATGTTGACCTCCAGTTGTCTAGATCTTCTGAACTCATTACTGATGCTTCATACTCTCTGATACTTAAATACACCCTTTTCCCAGAGTTCCACCCAAAAGTGTTGTAGCTTCAGGTTTATAGACAAGTTTTCTGGCCAGAAAATCAGAAAGGCCAGAAATCTCCTCTCTCAGTTTAAATGCTAATGCTCTGATTTTTCAGAAGTGCTGAGCAGGAGGGAGGGATTTCTCTGCTGATTTGAAAATCGGGCCCTAGATTGCCTGTGGGCTCATTATTTATCTTGGGTAAAGTTTTCAAAAGTGCCTAACTCCCAGTTTCAAAAGTCTCAAGTAACTTTTGAAAATGAGACTACGTTTTGTAAGTTTCCTGGGCTCTTTTGAAACCCGTTCCTCTTCTCATCTTTAACTGCCAGGTTCAGTAAGCCAGCATGTTTGATTTTTCGGCATGGAGTCATTGCAGCAGATTCTCAATAGTCAGCCGAGGCTTCCTTTCTCTGGCTTCCGCAAGCAAAGAGAGTGGTGTCTCTGATTCTCTCTTTATTGCTGCAGATGATGTGATTGTGATTAAGACGGAGATGCAGGAGCACGAAGAGAACCCTGGAGACTTGGAGTCCTATGACATGCTCCTGGGAAGTCCAGGGAAAAGTGTTTCCCAGAGTCCGGTTGCCACAGCAGCCCGGGAGGATCAGTGTGGCTCTGTAACGCCACCAAGGAGCCCAGGAGTCTTGGGAGAGCCGCCTCCATGTGGAGGAGATTTTGGTGCCATCAAGCCTATCCTCATACCTCAGGCCAGCCACGCAGGAGGGAGGCCATGTCTCACGGACACTAAGAGTGGGAAGAGTTTCCGTCTGAAAGTGAGCTTTGGGAAGCAGCACAGGAATCGTGCCAGGGAGGGACCCTATCAGTGCACCAAGTGTGCCAGGAGCTTCCGGTGCCATACGGAGTTTCTCCGACATTGCACAAGCCACGCTGGTGAGAGGCCTTATAAATACATCGGCTGTGAGCCGACCTACAGCCGGAAGTGGTTCCTTCTGAATAGCCAACAAGTCCGCGTGGAGGAGAGGCTGTTGCCGTGCACTGCATGTGGGAAGAGCTTCCGGCTGAAGGGGAGTTTTCTCAGACCCCAGCAAGGCCATGGGAGGAAGCATCCACAGGAAAGCAGCAAGGGCTGCAGCTGCCCTGCGGAGCTCTGGGCTGGCCAGTGGCTCCAGGCTAGGGGGAAGGCCGGCCAGTGCACCGAGGGTGGGGAGACATCTGCTGAGAAACAGCAAGCATCTGCCGAATGGCCAGCGAGCGCACTGTGGGGAGTGGCCATCCCTATGCCCCCTCTGCACGAACAGCTACAAGGTCCAGGCCAGTTTCCACAAGCACCTGCAGAGCCACAAGACCAGGAAGCCTTGTACGCATGCAAAGTGCGGGGCTGGCTCCCCATGTACCACACCACCACAGGATCAGCAAAGGGTCCCCCAGCCAGAGCCGGCGTCCCCAGGGCAGGCTGGAGAGTGGGAAGACCCCAGGGAGAGGGATGGGTGACTAGGTCGTAACTAGCGGGTTGTCTCCACGCCAGTTCCTCCCTGCGCTTGGATGGCTGGGAAAGCACCCAGAGTGCTCCTTGGGGCCT